GTAATGTACGGATACGGGAGAGGACAGTGACAGCCAAGCCCTTTAAAGTCGGGGACCAGGCATGGCTACACTGTCCTCAGGTGCCGGTTGGCCTCTCACCAAAGCTGCACCGACCCTGGAAAGGGCCGGTCGAGGTCATTAAAGCACTCCGACCGCAGTGCGTCCAGGTCCAACTGGGTAAGCGACGATGGTTTGTACACCCCACCCGCCTTAAGCCATACATCTCTCCACCGTCATCTTCACCAACATCACCACCAACATCACTGCCAACATCATCATCATCCCTACCCAGGCCAAGGTCGCCGAGCACCACGCGCCAACCGGCAGGGGGTTCGGTGCCCTGTGTTCCGTTGTCACCTACAGCACCCCATGTGAGGCCTGACGGAGCGGCAGCACGAGCGGGGGCCGGAGAGACAGCGGCGCCAGGCAAGGCGACACCGGCACCACCGAACCAGGGACCGCGACGAGAGGGCCTTCGAAGGAGGGGGCCGCCACGGTCATCTGCTGCCTGTGGATGTCCGGGCTGTTACGAGATGCTGGCTGGAGACCTGGGCAGGCCGCGCAATTGATTTCGTTGTGTTATGTTGCATTGTATGGTTGTGGGGGGGGGGGGGGGGGTAAGGGCTGTCGTCACTGTCAGTGGTGGGAGGCATGGGGAGATTTAAATGGTCCATGGGGGAGGCAGAACCGAGGACGGTTATTTTTTCTCCAGGGGGGGGGGGGTGATGTAGGGGTGTCAGGGGAAGGATTCCCACCAATAGATGGGTTAGTGGGAGGGGTGATCGAGGAGATATAAGGAGAGAACGGGCGGGAAGAAGGGTCCTTTGGCGGGAACGAGATTGGGACGGCTGGGGGACAGGTGTGGATGGAAGGAAAGGAATAAAGGACGAGACCCCTGCAATCTGGTGTCGGCTCCTACTTTACAGTATTAAAAAATAAGAATAGGTTTTACCCTTTCTGGCAATAAATCTTGTTTTAAATCCTATTTTATTGCCAGAAATGGTAAAAACCTATTTAATTTTTTCATATTTTGATTCTGGCAAAAGGGTCCCATTTTGTAGTGAAAGCCCGCGACGTTTCGGGAACGCCAACGGCAGCAGCACGGACGACGTCGCGCGGCCTTCACGATATCGGAAGAGAGGGGGAAGGGGGAAGATCAAAGAAATGAAGAGATTTACAACATTGTCACAAAAGTAAACACGATTTGCCCTGTCGTGACTTTGGAGGTACGGATCCAGTCTCAGGGATACTCCCTCACAAATCAAATTAACTAAAACTAAACTTTTTTTTATTTCACCAGGTAAGGACCCCCACTGAGCTACACAGCTCTTTGTCAGACGCGACCTTGCTATCGCAAATTATAGCTCAACGAAGTTGCTTATCACGTGGACATTTATAGGAGCAAAATACATACCTATCAACCCCTTATTAGTGCCTACCTTATTACAGACTAATTCAGACCTTATTGGTCACCCTGTGGCCTTATAAATCTCAACGTTGATCCTATAAAGTCCCATCACAAGGGAGAAATACAAAAAATAGAATAAAAAAATTGCCCACATGGAAACGGCTTACACTGTGTGGACCTGAAAACTCAATTTCCTTGTACAAGAATACGGGTCAACCGTATGGTATGATAGGTATGCAAATACTCTAAGCACGTGGTGATGTTGATTCGAAATGTGGAAGGAAAACCCGGAGGATCCAGACTACTCTCCACGCGACCACGGGAGGAGAGAGAGAAAGACACGCAGACTACAAACATACAGCAGAGGCATGAGGGTTGGCATAAAAGCCACGACCTCCTGCATACCAGGCGAGATAGGTGCTATGTAAAATGTAATTAATAATATTATGTTAACGCTCAGGGAATTCGAGGAGATTCCCATTCCAGTATTGTTCATTTAGAAAAAAACAAATACTTAATTAGCCAAAGTCACTGCCCAATTGCTCCACATATGGGCCTGAAACAATTACGCAATCTTATCGTTAATTCTGTCTCGGTATTCATTCTGTCTCTGTAACAGCCCCTCCTCAAGAGGAGGCATCTGCTGCTGTGCTGTGTGCTACTGCTACTGTCTGCTACTGCTGTCTGCTGCTGCTGTCTGCTGCTGTCTGCTGCCTGCTGCTGCCTCCTGCTGTATGCTGCTACTGTCTACTGCTGTCTGCTGCTGCTGTCTGCTGCATGGTGCTGCTGTTTGTCTGCTGCTGCCCGCTGCTGCTGTCTGCTGCTGTCTGCTGCTGCTGCATGGTGCTGCTGTCTGCTGCTGTCTGTAGCTCAACAGATAATCCATCCGTGGTTGGTTACCGATAAAATTAACGATGAACCACCTGCGGGTATTTGGCTGCTGCTATACACGTGACCATCATACGCCACTTCCTTTCGGCTATCATTTGCGATAGCCAGGTCGCTTCTGAAAAAAAAAAGACCCACATATATATACATATCTCAGTGGGCCTTACCTGGTATGTAAAAAAAAGTAGTTGAGTTCATATATAAGGGCCGTATCCAACTTAATTTACCATTAATTGTGTCGCGAATTAATTATGTCCTATTACAGGATGTAATGATGACGTCTTTGTTCCATTAACTTGTTGGCTGTTTGTGCCTTTTTTTTGCTTTGGTGCCACTTCTTAAATTTATTGATGCATTTGTAATTTTGCTCGGTAGTCGTATAGAGGTGCTTTTCATCTGTTTAACAGTAGTGGCTCTATATAGGACTTGGTCCTCATGTATGATTACTCTACAGCATTATGGGATGCTATTAGCATGAATTATGTTCTATGAAATGGACGTATTATTATTACAGCACCAATCTGCAATTGCTTATGGCTGATGACATAGTTTGCGGTGTCTCTCTCCCCGTGGGTTTTCCCTCCGAGGTTTAGGATCGACGTCACGCGTTCGGATCATTTGCCTGCCGCTATAAATGAACCTTATGGCGGGAACCTGGGGTCCCGAATGAGTCAAAATCGTAATTAATTCATATATATTTGGCGACTCCGTCACACCACGCACATAAATGCCGCGACCCACCAGAAATCAATCCTCTCGTTCTTCACCAAGCACCCGTTATTGCCAACATTGCCGTAGTCATAAAAAAACCTGAAACTTGTATTAACGCATCGTGTAGAGATCGTCGAGAGGAATAACTTGCCGTAGCGTTCGCCTTCAACAGACATAAAATAACGTCGCAACGCAGTTTATGCAAGAGCCAGGGGCTTATGGGACCCCGGGGTCCCGCTATAATGTTCAAATGTCCACGCGACAACGACGATAAACCGCTTATGTTGAGCTATCGTTTGCGACAGCCAGGTCGCTTCTGAAAAAGAGCTCAAGTACAGACAGGGGCGGCCCGTCCGTTTAAGCCAACTAGGTGGTTGCCCAGGGTGCCAAGTTAAGTGGGGGGGGGGGGCACCAAATTCGAGTGAAAAAAATACAAAATAAAATAACGAAGATGTCATCATTTCAATCCCCGTGCACGTACGGAGGGAATATGAATTATACTACATTTCTCAACATTTCCGAAAATACTCTTTGGTTTTTTCGGTAAAGTCACGTAGGTGAACACAAAATAAAATATAACTAAATTAAATCACGACGTTTCGGAAGCAACACAAGCATCCGTCATCAGGTGTGACTGCTCCAGCAAAATTACCGTAGCGTATGAAGAGAGCTATTTAGAGCTTCATCTTCTTGGTTCTTTCGGTAAAGAAGATGAATCCCTGCAGTCACGAAAGCTTTAAATCAAAATCTATTTAGAGCTATTTAAAGACACGTGTCTCTAAATAGCTCTCTTCATATTGGTCACAAAAACCTACGGGTTCAACTGCTTTCATGTGTTTAGTTTGTTTTCCTTCTCCCGCACCTCCGATTAGCACAATTGACTACATACGGTGCGACAGAGGTTCAACATACACACTGTCTATAGACTCAACACTGCCCATAGACTCAGCACTGTACGTAAACTCAACACTGCCCATAGACTCAACACTGCCCATAGACTCAACACTACCCATAGACTCAACACTACCCATAGACTCAACACTACCCATAGACTCAACACTGCCCATAGACTCAACACTACCCATAGACTCAACACTACCCATAGACTCAACACTACCCATAGACTCAACACTACCCATAGACTCAACACTACCCATAGACTCAACACTACCCATAGACTCAACACTGCTCATAGACTCAACACTGCCCATAGACTAACACTGCCCATAGACTCAACACTGCACCATAGACTCAACACTACCCATAGACTCAACACTACCCATAGACTCAACACTGCCCATAGACTCAACACTGCCCATAGACTCAACACTGCCCATAGACTCAACACTGCCCATAGACTCAACACTACCCATAGACTCAACACTACCCATAGACTCAACACTGCCCATAGACTCAACACTGCCCATAGACTCAACACTGCCCATAGACTCAACACTGCCCATAGACTAACACTGCCCATAGACTCAACACTACCCATAGACTCAACACTGCCCATAGACTCAACACTGCCCATAGACTCAACACTGCCCATAGACTCAACACTACCCATAGACTCAACACTACCCATAGACTCAACACTGCCCATAGACTCAACACTGCCCATAGACTCAACACTACCCATAGACTCAACACTGCCCATAGACTAACACTGCCCATAGACTCAACACTGCCCATAGACTCAACACTGCCCATAGACTCAACACTACCCATAGACTCAACACTGCCCATAGACTAACACTACCCATAGACTCAACACTGCCCATAGACTCAACACTACCCATAGACTCAACACTGCCCATAGACTAACACTACCCATAGACTCAACACTACCCATAGACTCAACACTGCACCTCCGATGAGCACGGTTAGCTACATACAGTGTGGAACTAAAAGGTCGTGTGTCTTGATGTCATCGCCAATTGAAATTGACACGTCGCGATGCGCTACGTGAACATGTTTCCGTCCGTAGTACCCGTTTTGATGCTGCACGAGCTGTTGGTCACGTTCATGATGGCCTCGGTGTCCTCCTTGACGATGTTCCCGTGCTTTATAAGCACTTTCACCTTCCCGAAGTTCATCTGCAGCGATCCCAGTCCGGGATCTATCAGATTTGTGTAGAAGTCTGCGGAAAGTCAAATATCGGAGTGTTGATTCGTGCACAACTTTTTTTTCTTCCATGACACAGGTTTGTTTTTGGGTTAGATCATGGAAATATACATGTGCCATTAAGCCCGCCAGCACTACCCGACACAGTTAATCAGTAAGATTTAGTCACGTAAACAAAACGTTACAAGTACAGCACTCACTGCTCGTTTGTTGGAGAGTAAACCCACTGCACACATTTACAATTCGAGTAGCCGTGACATTTCTACAGTAATTGCAACAAGCAGCAGCATCATCAGGCGACAGATAGAGAGTTGTGGAGAAATCTTCCTCATGTGTCGGTCTAATATGGATAATATTGGTACATGTTGAACTGTTTTTTTATCTCTATACAACTCTCTGAAAGCAATGCATTCACTTCGAAGACAAATCTGCTAAAGTCCATCTAAAATACGTATAAAAATGTATAGTTCAAGACCAACACCATGAAGTCTGGCATAAATAAATGCGTTAGGATGTTCCAGCATCCTAACAAGGTCCTTGTGTGTATATATATGAATAATGTACAGCATTGTGGGATGCTGTTGGCATGAATGACGCCGCTATGTGAAATTAAAGTATTATTATAATTAGAAATGATAAAGCATATTCTTCTTCTAATTCAATATCTCGATACTGGCAAAAAGCTCCCACAGTTACAATGGCTTCTCAATCCAAGCCATGAGCACGTTGCTGGTGTTTGCTTCGTCCGTGCGCTAGTCACCTGTCAGCAGCCTCTGGCCCAGCACTGGTGGAGAGACAGGGATACAGAGGAGGCTGCCTCCGGTGCAGGCCAGGTGCGCACACGAATCGAAGCGTGTTCGCTGGCAATTTCTCTTACCACGGAGTCAATCAATTTGATGTTTGAACACCCTCGCACATTGCATTTACGCCAGAAAACATTTAGCCCCTTTTTTTTACGTACTTTTATTTTAAGTTTACCCGTTTGTCCGTTTATATCCTTTCAAATCTTTGCCGCTCTTACTATTTTCCGATCTACAAAGCCTACTGAGCAGAAATTTTCTACAGATTCGTCGTCTGGCGTGACAATTCAAGATTTCATTTAAAGAACTGGATCCAGGTCCCGCCGATCCTGGACCTCTTCCTGTTCAACTGAAATGTTTCGTCGCAAAATTTCAAATACGTTAGAATTATCCAGACAAGAATACACGAGTATTATTGCCTAGATTGACATCTTCTAGGCGATTGAAATACAGGCAACCTGAGCACCTATGACCTAATTGGTTCCCGGATGACAGTCAGCAAGTTGAGTCGGCGTAAGTCGAACCCTCGTTTCCCATAGGAAGCGACGTTATAAATTGGGGGTTCTGTTCCTGGAAACCCGTTACGTACCATAAAAATACCAAAATTGACCACAAATTTTCATGAAAATAACCCGAACAAACATTTATTGTAACTCAACATTACGTTTACAAACATTTACTTTTACAAGTAAAAGCAAACACTTACATTTGAAAACCCTTCAGTACTTTTCTGCATGTACATCACATTTACTCTTCTCAGACGAAGCAAAAGGAGAACATTTTTCTAAATTAGAAGAAATTTTACAAAAAAAGTGAAGAGCGTTGAGAAAGACACTGCTGCGTTAGCTCTCGGCGCAGCTGGAGACTATCGGGCAACCATGTACATATGCATACGGCGGAAGAGCAAAGTAGCGGCATCTGGCGACGAGTCTGCACATGACATGTCGCCTGTACACTACACTATACACTACTATACACTACATTATTATACACATCATTAGGACTATATCATCTGCATAAGAAGACATAGTTATTCTCATTTCTGGCTCATTAACGACGAGCTCTGAAAGCCTTCTCCTTAGCAGGCACAGAAAAAATTCCAGGACAACTGAATACAGCTGCCCTGACAGGGGACAGCCTTGACTAATTCCTCTGCTGAAAGGAATGGGTGCACATAGAGATCCGTTCACCTTTATCAAACACTCTGCACTGCTATAGAGCAATACAACGTGCCGAAGCAAGTTTCCTTCCAGACCAAATGCGCTCAAATTACCCAGGAGGTATGAATGGTCCACACGATCAAAAGCCTTCTCCTGATCTAGAGACAAAAAAACTAGTGGGATATTAAAGTATCCGGACAAGGTGATTAGATCCCGTTACGATGAATATATTGTACTTGAATTGTGCATCCCGGAACAATGTTTGACTGGTTCGAGTGAATTATGTGTGCCAAAACGACTTTAAGCCGATTTCATAGTACTATTGCTAGAATCCTATAGTCCGTGCAAAGCAAAGACATGGGGCACCAGTTCCTAAGATGCCGCAGATAACCATTTTTTTGGTATGAGGGCAATTACTGCCTGCCTCCAGGATTTTGGCATCTCGCCTTTGTCCGTTGCTTTGGTTAGCACTTGTAGATGAGCTCCCAGAAACTACAGTAAAACTCCATCGTAAGGCCATCTAGTCGGGGGAACTAATTTCGAACCGGTCCTTTGAGGGCTGCTGTTATTTCTCCTTCTTCCAGTATCTCGTTCGTGAAGATCTAGTCATCCCGGGCTTAATTTCGATAACTCTTGCCAAAGTTCTTGTTAAGCAGCAGGAGACGCAGATTCAGGGAAGAACAGATCTGAGTAGAACTCCCTCGTCACTCCGCTCAGGCTTTGTCCGCTAACCAGCTGACCCACCTCATTTTACAGGCACGGTATGTGGCTTGACGGGCCGCTCATCTTTTCAAAGCTGGCAAAGAATATGCAGCCTGCATCAGCCACCTGGAGAAAGCTGATTCTTGATAGAACGTAAGCCCCTTCAGCCTTGTGCAGCTGGACTTTTCGAAGCAACTCTTTTGCTTCGTCGTATCTGTGTACTGCAGCAACATCACCTGGGCTAAGTTCAGCCTCCAGTTTTACTGCCTCCCTTTTAAGTACAGCAACATCAGAGTTGTCTTCTCTGAACTCCATTTTGAGTTGTGTTGGCATAGAAGCTTCAGTTTAACTTTCCCGACATCCCACCATTGCCCTAGAGAGTAAAAGTTTGGCTTTTCAGCCCTCCACCACTGTCAAAAGTCAGTGATATGCAGCTTGAAAACAGGGTCCTGCAGTAGAAGGTTGCAGAAATTCCAGTACGCCAATCCAGTTGTTCCTCACCACAGATTTATCTTGAATGTTACCAGATGGTGATCAGAAAAAGGTGTTGGCCAAATGTCTGTTAGTAGTGCATTGGAGAGATGATGCTGTGATAAGTAGATCCTGTCCAACCTAGACCGTATGAAAGTTCCATCATGTCTTGTACCAACAACGGTGAATGCGGCTATATTGAGGTGGTGTTCTCTCCATATGTCTATCAGAGCACTGTCTTTTAGCAGCCACATGAGTTGCATACTGGCATGAGGGCTCTATCCCAGACCTATCTATTGGTCCAATGGTGCAGTTGAAATTGTTACCTACAACTACACATTCGTTCATATACCTGCCAAATATGCAGCTACATGATTAAATAGGGAACATCCCAATCAGAGGTAGGTGCATAGACATTGATGAGGTGAACTGTAGTTCCCTGGCATTTTGCAACAACGTGAAGGAATCTACCATTTACTACGTTTTTTGCATTGGACCCCCTGATGCCAACCATGGGAGCACCAGAGTTGCCACCCCTGCAGTTTTGTTAGAAAGGCGACTGAAGAAAATCTTCTAATCCAAGTCTACCTTCCAGCATACCTCACCCCTCCTCCACGAGATGTGTCTCTTGTAGGAAGAGTGAGCACTTTTGCTCTTTTGCCAAATCAATTACGCAGAATCTGCGAAGTGCACTCCTGCAACCATTTACATTTAAATACGCCAAAAGCCACATAGCTATTAGCTAGCACCTGACTTCCATCATTCCCTCTTGTTGATGTGGCCTCGTCATCTTGCACATCCGGCATTGGTTCCTTCACACATGTTGGCTGTTCAGCTTGAGTGATTGAGGACTCCATTTAATCTGAATCATGCACTTCTGTTTGTTGGTGCTTATTTGTGTCCCCCTCATGCCTTTTTCCACTGAGGCATGTGCATGTCTGCTGTCTTCTGAGCAATGACCTCATCACTCCCTTGACTACAGTGGAGGGATATCGCTGTCGGTGTCCACCACCTCCATCTCTGTTTCTTTTGAGCTGGAACCAGATCTGTTGAACTTCCTCTTGTAAGACAGCACAGGGCAGGGACATGCTTAATCCTGCATCAATACACTCGATTTTGGAGTGGGAACCGACATTTGGCAATGGGAGTCGCGGCCTGAGGATGCAGCACTGCTTCCTTGCTTGCTCTGTGCCTGCTTGCAGGCTGTACCAGTTTCACCATGCTCCAGTCTTTTTTCTATGTATTTTCCTCATATTATTGATGACCCTGGGAGTAGGACAGTTCTTGTGGATATGACCATGTCGGCACCGTAGTAAACTCTGTGAGCAATATCCTAAAAAAAAATCACAATTAAGCTCCCTTCGCACTGATCTTGAGGATTGAGCAGCACTTGCACATGGTGTTGAAAGGAAAGCACGTGTCTTATCCTGGGAGTCTTGGTCCCAATAGGGACCGGGGAGAGAGGCGACGTGATCGTGCCAGGCTTGGCAATATGCTCTCTCAGCATTTCATCATGGGTGTACGGGGAGATATTGGAGAGAGCGATCCTCGTGGTTGGCGAGTCCAGTCTCCACAGCACGGTTCATTGCAGATTCGGTTGAGATGTATAAAACCGCCTTGCCGCTAACCTTGGCAGCGCATGTGATTTCACGAGCTGGGACGATGTCTGCATGTGCATCCGCGTATGCCTCGATGGTTACATTCGATGAGGCATAGCCGTCGTTGAGTCGACTTTCCAGCAGCTTAACATGGCCATTACAATTATTAAAACTATAACACGGTGCTACACTAACATCAATGCTACCCTATCAATGCTAAAGCTTTAGAGCATTGTAACAATACCTAACACTAGATGTATTCATCGCTACTGCAGTTATGCTGATGTGTTTATGGGTCAGGGCACTGTAGTGAAGCCAAAAATTGGAGGGCAACAAACACATCAGAAAATTATCAATGGCAGTGGAAACAGTGATGGAAAAATTACTCAGAAGGAGCGAGGCTTACAAAGGAAGGCTTGCCTAGACTAGGCCGTCCTAGGCTAGGCCGATCTAGGCTAATCAGGCCTCGCCTTTACAACAGGGTGACAAGGCTTCACTACCAGAAACAATTATAGCAGAACTATAAAAATAATACATACAAGAAGAAGACACATAGGTACTCACAAGACCTCCACTAACGAGAAAGCAACAGATATGACTCACAGAAGATGTCCAAATTGTGATATAAAAAATCAGCTGAGCTCACTGCTGCATGACCTCTTTCAATTGGTGTGGATGTGTGGGGAGCGGTGGTGCAGTGGTTAGCGCGCTTGCGCTCCGAACCCGGCGACCCGAGTTCGATTCCCGCTGACGGCCACCACCGGTGACGATTATTTGAACCGGTCCTGGGCCTCCCCCAGGTCGACTCAGTCTCAAACGAGGACCTGGTGCGATGTGTAAACATCGCCACTAGGGAGACAAAGTCGGTCACACGTGGTGCTGGCCACCCACAACAATGGAGGGCGGAGGAGCGACGCTCACAACAACGAGCAGAGCGCCGGGTGGCTAAAGCACAGCAAGTTGGCACAGTAGGGGGCACAGGTGGTGCATCAACCAGTCATCTTTTTCATCTCAGTCAGTCGACCCGTGGCACCTGGGTCTGCCCCATGACCTCCTGCCAGCGGGCGTTCGACACTTCACGTGGCGGTTGTTGTGTGTGTACTCACCATCCTGTTGGCTGTCTCTCGACTGCGCTGCATCTTGTGGGCTCGGCACATGGAGGGCCTCGCCGCTTGCTGCCGATGCTGTCTTGCTCGCACTTTTATCTTTTTCCTTTTGCAGTTCTGCCATGAACGCCTGGCGTGGACAGAGTTACAAACGGAAATCGTGAGCAAAAAAAAAAACTCACATTTAAAAGCTTTAAGTACATTTTCGGCCAGACAATGGCCTTCAATAAGGCATTCCCTCGTTATTCACGAACTCGCAATCGGTTATTGTGGCTATCCGCGAATCGTATCGGGAAGTCTACACAACTGCTGCAACGAGATAGAGAGATTAAGTGTGAGAGATCAAGTGATGAGATATAGTAATGAGATATAAAGTGATGAGAGATACAGTGATGTGAGATAAAGTGATGTGACATAAAGTGATGAGAGATAAAGCGATGAGAGATAAAGCGATGAGAGATCAAGCGATGAGATGAAGTGGTGAGAGATAAAGTGATGAGAGATAAAGTGGTGAGAGATAAAGCGATGAGAGATAAAGAAATGTTAATACATTTATTTATCTATGGGCAGTGTTGAGCCTATGAGCAGTGTTAGTCTATGGTCAGGGTTAGTCTATGGGCAGTGTTGAGTCTATGATGAGTGTTGGATCTATGGGCAGTGTTTGGTGTATGGTCAGTGTTGAGCCTATGGACAGTATTAAATGTATGGGCACTGTTCAGTCTATGGGTAGTGTTAGTCTATGGGCAGTGTTGAGTCTTTGGGCAGTGTTAGTCTATGGGCAATGTTCAGTCTGTTGGCAGTGTTGAGTATGTAGGCAGTGTTGAGTCTATGTGCAGTGTTAGTCTATGATGGAGTGTTTAGTCTAAGGGCAGTGGTGAGTCGATGAGGAGTGTTGGATCTAGGATGCAGTGTTGAGTCAATGAGCAGTGTTAGTCTATGATGCAGTGTTGAGTCTCAGGGCACTGTTGAGTCTATGTGCAGTTTGAGTCTATGGGCAGGGTTCAGTCTTTGGGCAGTGTTGCATCTATGGGCAGTGTTGGGACTAATGGGCAGTGTTGAGTCTGTGGACAGTGTGAGTCTACGGGCAGTGTTGAGTCTATGGGCAATGTTAGTCTATGATGCAGTGTTCAGGCTAAGAGCAGTTTTGAGTCTAAGGGCAGTGGTGAATCTATGGGCAGTGTTGGATCCATGGGCAGTGTTCAATCTACGTGTAGTTTTGAGTCTACGGGCAGTGTTGAGTATTTGGGCAGTGTTGAATCTATGGACAGTGTTGGGACTAATGGACAGTGTTGAGTCTATCGGCAGTATTAAGTATATTGGCAGTGTCGAGTCTATGGGCAGTGCTGAGTCTTTGGATAGTGTTGAGTCTATGGGCAGTGTTGAGTCTATGGGCAGTGTTGAGTCTATGGGCAGTGTTAGTTTATGGGCAGCAACAATTGCATAGAGTCTGTGAGAATCATATCACTTCATCGACCTAAACCAAACATGGACACACATTTAACTGAATAACATTGGGTATCCATGACATTTTTCGAGAAGAAAGTGCATCTTATGAAAGGCCTATCTCGGACAATAAAAACGGTGTGAACCAATGCAATACACGCGACGAACCCACCTGCACCCTATTTGGTTCCTGTCATAAGTCGAACCCTTGTTTCCCATACGGCACAATGTTATAAATTGGGAGTTCCGTTCTTGCAAGCTCATTACGTACCATAAAATTCCAAAATTAACCACGAAAATTAATAAAAAATTACCCTAACAAACATTTATTGTCACCTGACGTAACTTTCACAAACATTGAGTAAAAATTAACGCTTACATTTGAAACTTCTTAAGTGCTTTTTTACATGGGCCTGGACTGGCTGAGGCTTTTTAAAATACGAGCAGCAGTCATTAGGCGGTCGTAGATACGAGCTTTATTTTTTAATTTTGGGATGGGGGGGTGGCGTCTTACTCACTAAAATAAAGGTCATAAAAGCGGGGGGGGGAGGGGTCGCAAGTCGAGCCGTCATCAGTCCGTGGGGTTATCCGTTATTCGGTTATTTTTTTATCATTCTTGTGTCGGAATACAGGGGAGGGGGAATAGCAGGCCCCGGTGGTGCACACTCACTCTGAACACCTCCTCATCCTGCCCATGCACGATGATCCTCACTGCCGTAAGTGACGACCGGGGGTTGCGTTTGCTGAAGCGTTTCACTTCGGAGAAAAACACTTCAGCGGTGACCTCCTTGGGGAATTGCAGGACACCGGTGCCGATGACCGGGAAGGCAATGGTGCCGTAGTTTGATTTGCTGGCCATGTTGAGGCAAGTTGAGATTATTTGCTCCAAAACCTTAGGGATGAGGTAAAACAAAGGCGTTTATTTTACGTTTGCAACTTCACAACTGCGAGCATAAAACAGTGTGGTGGGGTAGTTGCCTTCCTCTAATAAAGGATTTTGGGTTAGATCGCGTTATTTATAAATGTGTCGCAACCCTCCACCACCCGACACGGCCAATCAGTAAAAAATGGTGTCACGTTGACAAAAGACAAATACATCATGACACCTCCTTCGCCAGTAGCAAAATATAATAATAGGGTTTTTACCCTTTTATCTGGCACAAAACTGACACCTTTTTACAAGAGATTATGTTTACATTAACCACAATACCTTCGGTCAAAATGCAAACAAAAAACAGCACTCTGATAATGTATGCATTGTCCTTGAAATTGATTGGTCCACACCAGAGACAGCTTTTTTTTATAGCCCAGTCTCATATGGTGTTCAATCAGATGACGCCAAAAGGCGCACAACTCAAAGACAACGCCCCATGAGAGTATTGAGAGCTCGGGGTAAGCATTTACATCATGAGACCTCCTTTGCTAGTAGCAAAACATAATAATAGTTTTTTTACCCTTTAATCTGGCACAAAACTGACACCTAAAAGACAAATAGTTCATTACTTTAGCCCACCGGTGTGCTGAAGAGTGAATCCACAACATTTACAATTTTTGAGTACGACGTTTCGCTGATTACTAATCATAACAATTGACTGAAACTTAATTTGGAGCTTTCGTGACTGCAGGAATTACTCTTTGGTTCTTTCGGTAAAGTCACGGAGAAAGAGAAAATAATAAAACTTTTATTATGAATAATATTGGTCGCGAAAGCCTACGTTTTAAACTGCCTTTCTCTATTGAACTTCACTTTTAATGGTTACGTTAACACTAGTGTTGTGATGTACAAGTCAACTACATTGCAGATGTATAATGTTCGATGAATGGAAGGTAGAGAGAGTGTGACAAATGTCTGTTTGGGTAGATAGTGATGTCGTTGTCTCGCGTTTACGTAGTGGTCCAGTGTTTAGTCTAACGTTCATTAGTTCCCGCACTGCCGATGAGCACATTTGGCTATGTACGATTTAAAAGAAGTTCAACATACATACTGTTTAGCACATAGGCTTTCGCAATTTCTGGCGAAACGTTGTGGGTTTACTCCCCAACACACCGATTAGTGCTGTACAAGTAAATTGGCCACATTTGTGTTTACGTGACAAACCTTCACTAGGTGGCTGTCGGGTGGTGGCAGGTTTAACGACACATTTATATATGCGATCTAACCCAAAAACCTCTATTGTGGATATATACATACTACAGTAATAATGATCCCATTAAAGAGAGGTGTAAAACAATGGGATATTTTGAAACTGCATGAACCACAATACCTTGCTGATCTTGTCAAGGAGTATAAAACATCATCCTCGCAGCAGCAGTGGCAGCGGCTTTTCGTTAACCACCGAACTAAGACGGCGGTCACCGTATCATCGCACGGCACTTTCGGGTGCGCTTCTGCGGTCGTCTGGAACGCTATTCCCTTCCGATATTAGGAAGCCACTGGAGCTATGCACTTTTAAATCATCATCTAGCTTGACAAACTCATTTATTTACAACTGCTTTTTGTGTTTAGTTTGCTGTCCTTACCCCCACACCTCCGATGAGCACAGTTGGCTACATGCGGTGTGAAAGAAGTTCAACGTATGCACATACATGTGGTTCTCATGCCCTTCTTTTGCGATACCCAATAATAGTTTACCTTCGTGGCATTTCTCGAGTTCCATCTACAGCAGGCGGTGTGGTAGACCTCTTTGCAGGACAGGGTGGGCTGACTCCATTTCACAGCCATGGCGTCTCCATCCGCGAGCGTTTTCCTTTGTGAAACCTCCCAGGTGAGATCTTGCAGGCGTTGCCCAGCCTTCTTGAGGAGCGCTGCAGAAACGGCGCCTTGGGACAGGTCGAGGTTGTTGGAGACCGTGTTGACGATCACGTCCGCCTGTTCATGAGATTATCAGTTCGCTCAAGACGTCCAATACACGGGACCCGTCATGAAAAGCGGAACAACGTCTGACGAGTGCGTGGAGAAGCGCGGCAGGGCGCATACTGGAAATTATGCCACGACGTAGTAACAGGCAAACGCTTTTCACGGCTCTAGTAGGAAAGCGTTTGCGACCAATTCACGACGATACACATTTACGACGTTTGTTCACAGTGTTCCCTCGTTATTCACGAACTTGCTGTCTGCGATGCGCATATTACACCTGGAACTCTCCACGACTGTCATCGATAGAGAGAGAAAGAAAGTGATAAAGTGACGAGAGATGAAGTGATGAAAGATAAAATGATGAGAGATAAAGTAATGAGAGATAATGTGACAACAGATAAAGCGATGAAAAAAAGTGATGAGAGATTAAGTGATGAGATAAAGTGATGAGAGGTAAAGTGATGAGAAATGAAGTGACATGATATAAAGTGAAGAGATCAAGTGAAGAGAGATACAGTGATGAGAGATATAGTTATGACAGATAAACTTATGAGATAAACTTATGAGAGATAAAGTAATGAGATAATGCTATGAGAGATAAGGTGGTTGAAAGTGATGATGCACAGCATCATTATAATTTAAGGTAATTTCATTAATAACCTATTATTTATACTTTAACACGTATTATTTACTTAATGTTTTATTGTAACCAATTTTTTTAAATATGATATTTCCATAAATTTAAAGGTTCATTAACGTATTTATTTAATGCAATGCATGTAAAAGATACGTTGTCATAGGCCAATATTATTAATAGCGAAATGTTGCTGTTCATGAGCATCTCCAAAGCATGTCCTCATCGCGAATGACGAGGGAACACCAGAATGTGGATCGGTTTACGACGCTTGAAACTCGATCCACGACGCATCTTCCGACACGACCCCCGGACGGGCTTGAGCAGAGTGGGTCTGTCTGGCTTCCCGACGTGACTTGGTGTGGAGCTGTCATTTTCACGTTGTTTGTTATTTTTGTGTGGATGTTTACCTCCATAATATAGGGTTTTTTGGGTCGCGTAAATATGAATGTGTCGTTAAACATGCCACAATTGTAAATGTTGTGGATTTTCTCTCCAACACACCGGTGTGCTATACTAGTAACGAACTAGCATGTTCTGTCTACGTAACAATCCTAGTTTGCTGTGGCGGGTTGTGGCGGGTTTAACGACATTTAAATTCACATGATGTAACCCAACAACCTCGATTATGGACAACAATGTTAATAAAAAATAACTAAACAAATTTATTCACAAAAATCACCTGCAGTCTACCAATGGACCAAACCAGGTTCAGGCATCTGCCTACCATATACATAGAGCAGCGTAATGCAGCGTAATCCACCGACCCCTTTGAGCAAATCCTAGACCGATGGGAGTGGCATGAAATCCAGACGCACGATAACGTAATTGTGAGTAATTTTAAGCTTTAAATATTTGTATTATTGACTGTCACTGTGAGACGGTCTTCCTCTACACCCAATACATAGTGCAGTAACTCAAGTAACGTTCATAAAATGTAGTTATAGCCTAACATAGTATTGGAAATACGGGGTTAAAACCCATCCGTAGTCGTTAATTCAGTAAAAGTGAGTCGGGAGAAAGAAGGATCTTGCATAGCCCGCCACGCATATATATACATTATGTGTATACTATATATAGTATATATAATGTAGCCCTTCATGCATATATATATTTTATAATAATATATATTATAAAATATATTTTCTATATAATATGGAATAATGTATTATATATATGCGTGGGGAGCTATGTAAGATAATATCATATATTATAAATCATGGATCAGTAAATGCAGGTGGTAAACTAGAGGCATTGCTAAAGCCAAGCTATTCATGTTTTGAAATTTGCGTCGCCTTTGTAGCGTTCCCTGTGTGGCGTTGTTCTCTGATCTCACACTGGTGCAGAGAGGAGACCACGAAAGAGGTTGCAGCTCTGGTGCAGGCCAATCATGATGTGTGGTTAATGCAACGTTGGTGATGCCTTGTGATAACAGGTGTGTATATTTAGTGTTTTAATGTCTTATAGACCTTCCTGTATTATTGCCATGAAGGGTAAAATAATTTTATGTTTCATCACATTCTATTGACTCTTGATAAAAGGGAGTGGGCTTGGACAGAATGCATCGCGAGAAGTAATGGCGGCCGCCAATGATCAGATCTAATGATGGAACGGCAGCCAAACTCTCAAAACCAAACTATGTTTTAATTTTACTAGGTAAGGTCCCACTGAGCTATGTAGCTCTCTTTTCAGAAGAGACCTGGTCACCATCGCAAATGATAGCTCAACGAAGTGGCTCATCACTTGGTAATTTAGAGCAGTAGCAGAATACTCTGAACGCGTGACGTCGATTATAAATGTGGAGGGGAAACTCTGGAGAAAAATCCACACGAGATAGAGAGACACGTAGACTCCAAATACACAAAAAGGGTCAGTGGTTGGGATCAAACTCACGACCTCCTTGCACACCAGGTGACGTAGTTAATATTCTCAAGCCGCAAATGGAATGTGCACGTTAATGGGAATTGGGGGGGATTTGGAGGTGAACTCCTCTCGTTTGCAGGAACTAGATGCGTGGTCTGATTGCAAGACAATGAGAAATGGCACCGGCTTGTTGAAGGCTTTATCCAGCAGTGGATAGATGATGGTGGCAGTGGTGGTGATGGTGGTAGGGGAGCGATGGCGTGGCGGTTAGTGCGTCACCGCGCTACAAACCCAACGTCCCGACATTTGATTCCTGCTCACGGCCAACACCGGTGACGATTATCTAAACTGGTCCTGGGCCTCCCTTAGGTCGACTCAGCCTCAAATGAGTACCTGGTGCGATGTGTAAACATCGCCACTAGGGAGACAAAGGCCGCCCCGGCGTGGTGCTGGCCAATGACCCCATCGTGTGCTGTGCCGGCCTTCATAGGTGCACACTAACAGCACTTTCCCCAACAGTCTGTTAAAGGTTATACGGGGGATATTTGTCTTTGGTATAGAATGCAAGGACGAGTGAACGGAAAGTTGATGTTAAAAAAAAAAGTGAACTTACCATTTCGTTCTCTATATTTCCTTTCACAACGTTTATGCTCAGTCCAGACTTGGTTTTATACACATTCGACTGCAGGTGTGTCATCTGTTAAACATGAATGAAAACACATTGTGGAAATAAATATATTTATACACAAGTGTAGATATTGACCAAGCTGACCAGACTGGGTTCATAATCTTATATTGCACCTCTTACAAGACATAACAATACATGGGCTCCTCTACTTATGAACATTCAACTTACGAACTTTCAGAGATACGAACAAACCGTCCGTGCATCCAGTTGCCTGTTCGGACCGAGATTCGGAAGTTCAACAGCCGCGAAATATATGGTGGTGGTGGCACCTACATCTGCAGAACATGAACCAGTGGCATCTACATCTGCAGAACGTGAAGAATCAGTGGCATTCTCCATCTGCAGAAGATCTACATCTACAGGAGATGATACAACTTTTAAAGCCTTTCCCCATGTTTAGTGTATACGCTGTACAGCATGTATGGAATTGAGAGTAAAGTTGGACTCACGGACAAATCGACTTACGAACACAGACATCTGGAACCTAATTCGTTCGTAAGTAGAGGAGTCTCTGTACACAATCCAACAGACACACACGGATGTGGCTTTTGTGAATCAATTTGACTTGGAAATATGAAGGAAATCTTTAAGGATATTTTAAAGGCTGCGGTTAGCATCATAAGCACTGACTGTGGAGCTCTCGTATGAGGAACATCAGAGGCTGTGTCAAGAGAGAGGAATGGTTCTACAAGTGACTAAAATATGAAGGTGCGTGGAGGAAGTATTAGCAGCGTGGTATTTACACAATACGACTTCCCGGTATGCAGGAGGTCATGGATTCGGTTCCAATCCCGAACCTGATGCCTCCTGCTGTATATTTGGAGTTTCCATGTCTCCGCAAACTCAAAATATACATGGGCGAAGAAAAGTCGTGTAGACTCGGAGAAAAATTGCATGGACTTTACTCTCCGGGTCCTCCGGATTTTCCCCTCCACAATGAGAATCAACATCACGCGTTTAGAACATTTGGTCACTCTAAATGTCAGGTGACCCCAGCCTTACGACAGCTCGACTTGCGACGCCCCGCTTCTACGACCTTTCTTATAGTAATTAAGACCCCCAGAGTAACAAACAAAACTCGTTAAAAAACAAAAACTCGTATCTACAACCGCCTAACGACTGCTACCAACGCCGAGTTCATTAGCGACGAGTCTGCGCATATACTACAGACTCGTAGTGTAATGCATAGTGTAGTGCATAGCAGTGTATCATGCAGTGTATAGTGTACTGTATAGTAGTAGCGTATAGTAGTGCAAAGTGCATTGTACAGGCGACATGTTACGCGCAATGATTTGCTCTTCTGCCTGCAGCTGCACCGACAGCGAACGCAGCAGTGTCTCTTTCTCAACGTTCTTCACTTTTTTTGTAAATATGCTACAAATTTTAAATTTTCGCTACGTCTGAGAAGAGGAAATGTGATGCACGTGCATAAAAGTACTTAACGGTTTTCAAATGTAAGTGTTTGGTTTTACTCAATAAATGTTGCTAAAGGTTATGTTAAGTTACAATAAATGTTTGTTAGGGTTATTTATTTATTTTCGTGGTCAATACAGGTAGTCCCCGACTTACGATGGTCCGACTTACGATATTTCGATCTTACGATGGCCATATGACAAAAATTGTTAAATATTTTAGATTTCGCGCGGCAGGCAAACGCAGCAGCGTACGAGGTACGATGCTGTACGTTGGGACGCTGCCGGGATGTACTGCACGCATCTCCCGCCTTGTGTGATGCTTCACTCTCACCAGCGGTCGACAGAGTTAAGTTGTCTCGGTGTTCAATGCATGTTAAAAGTTTTTATAGCAGATAGGATTGTTTCCTGAATAAACTTTCTATGAAATTGCAGTTCATATAGGTAGGCTAAGAATTTACCTTGTTTTTTTTAGTTTACATTTTACTGTGCAATACAGTATTGTAATAAAATAAATACGCACAGTATATAGTTTATACAGTACGGTACTGTAAATTTCTCTGTTTTGCTAAATTATCACCATTCTTTAAGACTCCTGGGTAGGCTAGGCCATTTTCGACTTACGATATTTTCGACTTACGATGGGGTCGTCGTAACGCATCTCCATCGTAAGTCGAGGACTACCTGTATTGGTATTTGTATGGTATGTAATGGGTTTCCATGAACGGAACTCCAACGTATAGCATTGGGCCTATGGGAAACGAAGGTTCGACTTACGACGGCTCGAATTGCGACCAACGTACAGGAACCAATTACGCCGTAGGTGCCGGGGTCGCCTGTATACACTACACTACGATACACTACACTACTATACTATAAACTACCATACTGTACACTACTATACACCGCACTACTACACACTACTATAAACTACACTACTATACTATACACTACTATAAACTGCACTACTATATAATCTTGATTTGAAGCTTTCGTGACTGCAGAAATCCATACTCTTTGGTTCTTTCAGTAAAATTTTCTATCTAAGTGACTTTACCGAAAGAACCAAAGAGTATACCCTACACTACTATACACTACGATACGCTACTATACACAACACTACTCTACACACTAGACTATACACTCCACTACTATACCACTACCATACACTGCACCACTAGACTAAATTAAAAACACATTTCTTTAGAGCTGCATGTTGTGTTCAGCCCGCAATGCTCACCCTGAGCTATACATGCTCTGATAGTGCGTTGTCTTTGTGCTGGTTGTCTTTTTGCGTCCACTGGTCTAACACTGGATGAGACTAGACACTAAGAAGGTTGTCTCTGATGTGGTCCCATCAGTTTCATAGACAATGCCATGTTATCAGAGCCATGTTTGTTTGCATGTTCACGACAGGTAATGTGTGTGGTTAATACAGACGTGATTCCTTGCAAAATGTTTCTATTTGGTATTTGAACATCTTAACACCTTTTTATTGCCAGAACGGGTAAAACCTATTCTTATTTTTTTCAGACCTTTTCTTATTTTTTCATGCTTGTTGTGTGTTAGTTTGCTGTCCTTCCCCTCCGCACCCTCCGATCAGCACAGTTGGCTATGTACGGTGCGAGATTAGTTAAACATACACGAACATGAATTCAAAAACACCCATAAAACATACCATAATCTTCTTTGTGCATTACCCACGTCGCATTACTTTCGCACAACGTTTTGAGATGATGCAGTCAGCATTCACACTCTCCATGAAGCCAAAGTGAATTGTGTTTGCAAAGAGTCTTGGCAATGTATTATTAGGTTTTTTGTCTTATTAGTTTTTTTGTATCTAGATGCTTTGCAATGCTACATTCTACTGGGAAACATAACTGCATACCATAACAGGGCAGGGGGAGAAGCAGTAGGTGTTAAACAGCATTATTTATTGGTAATGTTTCGTCTTACCGTATTTGTTCGTTGCTGTTGTTTGTAATCGAGTCCAGGTGGTGATTGCTGAGCGTCGTGAGGCACGCGACTGGCACTCGCTTCGCGCCCATGACGAGGTTTGGCCGACGATTGCTCGCTCTCTGCAGCATTCAGCGGCAGTTCGCCTTTGGCAACGGGTCTGCGCTCACCCCCATCGTGAATACTCCTCAAGCACTTCTTGAATTCCATCACCGTGGCGTTGTCGATGCTCATCAGCTCCACACGCCGTACCGACGTTGGCTCCTCCAAATGCCTCTCGCAGAAATCTCCCACCGCTGCAGCGATTGCCTCGCAGCACAACGCGGAGTGGGAAGCCAAAGCGCCTCTCGGTGCCAAGGGCGGGGATGATGATGGACTGGCAATTCCTTTCCGCAGCGAGCTTCAGGCTCTGGCTGACCGAGTGCTTCAGGGCATTTCAGCATCGGAGTCGGTGGCTGATGGACATCCCACTTGACGCCAACCACGTTGATCAGGAACTTGCACGGCAGCGTCCCCGGGCCTGTGAGCACCACGTCTCCTGCTTTGAATGGACCTCTGTTTGAAGCGACTTTCTTATCTCTTTCGCTCTGAATGATTTGGCCACCCACGTCCACCAGCGTCTTGGACAGGTGACCGACGATCTTCAGGTTTTTATCCACTGTATTGACCATCGCGTCCTGCATGTCGATACTGCATCTCCCCCTTCTCTACAGACACCGCGATTCCATTCACGGCTGAAACACCATGTGGTGTTTCAGTCCAGAAGGCATTCTGCCAGGTCTCCTGTTGTTCTTCTCGTGGCTCTATCATAATAATGGATTTGTTTCTCAACTCCAAGAATTCCAAGAATATGGTACCCCTGTCGTGTAAAAAATTGGCACCTCCTGGCTTTTGAATGCACATCCTTTTCGAGACGATGCTCTTAGAGAGACTGTTAAAATATTTGACCACCTCATCCTTGTCTTTATCCATCAGAGTAACCGTGTATCCGATCTTTTGATCGCTTTTCTCTTCTTTTATGATCTTGCTAACTGCTGGTAGTTGGCTGGGCAGGTCTCCAAATTTATCGATGTATTTCAGGACCCCCTTGGATTTGATTGGAATAAACACGGTTTCGGTTGAGTGATCAGCGATGAATTTTTTTACTTTTTGTACGACCCCATCAGTGACGTTACTCAGTCCCACAATAACTACTTCCCTGCCAACCTGTTTATCACAATGCACTTCAAAAGAGACTTCAGCAGCTCCGGTAAGACCATCGTGGGCATCACTGCTTCTCAGACTTCCCAGGAATTCTGCCCAATCACTGCCGTGCTGTTTTATATCAAAATCCTGTGTGAATTGGACTTTAGTGTCCACGAGCGCTTTACCAATCGCCTCAACCGCTTTGGTCATATCTTCAATGCTTGCTCCAATCACCATGACGTCACCATCCCTGTCGTCAATCGTGGCCTTTATCCCTTCCCTGATGAATGTATTTTGAACGAAATCGTCATGGTTTAGGCCCAGAATGAAGGACTTAAGTTCTTGGGAAACATTCAATTGCGTAGAAGAAAACTGCATACACAACTGGACAAGCCTGGTGTACATTGCCGTACAAACTTCCTTGGGTCCTTTGAGAGCCACGGTGTTCTTTTGCAGGTCCCGGCGTATGTCAACTTCTGGGAATTGTTGTGGTAGTTTGGTGTCGAATGTGCTCTGTCTCATCAGATCCAGGTATCCCTGTTTCATGGTTAATTCGAACTGCGCAAGGTTTTGTATTTTGTCCAACTCTGCCATCAGGCTCTCTTTGAGTGTGGACAACTGCTTAACGACAGCTTCCACCTCGGACTTTGGACCGACGACATTAACCCGACTGTCTCTCTCATCCAAAGTAATCTCAACGGTGTCCGTTTGGCATCGGAAAATCTTCGAAGCCAGGTCGTCGAATATGTGTGCATTCACTCGCTCAGAGTGCTGGGAATATCTGCCGAGAAATAATTGGATTTGTTCACAAATATCTTGCGGCCATTTTTTACGCGAAACATAACTCGATGTGTGGAGAGACAAGGCTGGTGCGACTCGCAGGACCTGAGGGGAACCTCGGTTATCCCACTGAAATGTTGCTTTGTTCTGCGCCAACAGCTCAAAGAACTCGTCAGGGCGTTTCAGAATGAATTCCATGAAGCGCGGTTCCACCAGAATGGTCTGAGGATCCGGAAGCTCAATTTCTCCCGCGCCCAAAGAGATCAATGCCAACCGATGCTTCTCATAGTAACGGTGGGCCATGAGAACTTTCCCTTTGAAGGTCCACTTTCCATCCAGGACCTTCTCAACATCTGCAAAGGCAGATGCACGATCGAATTGTTATGATCACAGTATGTAAAACACATACGCACAAAATAAATCGATGTAAATATTAGACATTCAAAGCATAGGTAATGGTCATACATTGGATTTCATCTTCCACGAAGCTGCTCATGGTCCACCCTAAACCACATCATCCACTGCACAAACCATGGCAGAAGTAGATGAGGATACCTGATGATGCAAAAATGTAAAATTAAAAACTCTCCAGTGTGCGACTGTGGTCATCCAGAACAGACAATACAACATATAACGACACAACGGCCCAATCCACAAATATGAAGGAGACATCACAGCGATTATGATAATACACTACTCCGCTACTACTCCTGACGCGGCTGTCTTGGCTTGACCACCTGAATGTGACATTGTAATTGTTGCTCTGCATCTACATCAACAGCAGTACGGAAGAAGAGATCCATAGAGACACAATTCTATCTCGTGCTTTACTCCCCTTTCTCTCCCCCTATCTCTACCCCCCTCTCTCTCCCCCTATCTCTACACCCTCCCTTCCCCCATTGTCTAACACACTTGGACTGTGCCCCTCGCCTTCAGCTCCACCTCTATCTCGCGCTTTACTCCCCCTCTCTCCCTATCTCTACTCCCCCTCTCTGAACCTATCTCTACCCCCCTCTCTCTCCCCCTATCTCTACTCCTATCTCTAGCCCCTCCCTCCCCCCATTGTCTAACAGACTTGGACTGCGCTCCTCGCCTTCAGCTCCATGTCGATCTCGCACTTTATTCCTACATTAGCAGTGGCTGCCCCGGCCACGCTGTTTACGACACACAGCTCTCCTCCTCGCAACTCTAGTCCCCCGCCCACTCACTTTGGAAACCCTTATAAGCACTTGCATTTGGAGGCTTGCCCCAAATGCACTTGTGTTGCGATCGAAACGTTATGGGTTTTTTGCTTTTATTATTTTTACTTTACTTTTCATTTTATTTGTATTGTCTATCGACGTGACTTTACCGAAAGAACCAATAACATAGAGATCCACAGAGACGCACAGAGACTCGAAGACCCATACAGACTCACAGAAATGTATAGGCACCCACAGAGACTCGCAGAGATCCGTGGAGACTCAGACCCAGATACTCATGTAGACCCAGGATCAGAAACCCAACGATTCATATAGGATCCATAGAAACCTACAGAACGCATAGATCCATAGGCTAATAGTCATCACAACGATGATGATGATACACTACTCTGCTACTGCTCCTGAAATGGCTATCTGGGCTTGACCACCTGAATGTGAAGTTGTAGTTTGTGCAAAGGAAGTTCAACATATAAGGAGTTTAAGGAGAGGGACTGTTTAATGTAAACGAGAAGATCATTCCAGTAATAAAAAGTTTTTGCTTGTTGGCATGCTGGTGATTGATTCATTCCAACATATACAAAATGTATGTATGTTGAACTTCTTTTGCACTCCATGTAGCCAACCGGAGGTGAGGAGAACCGATAAGGTGGGTGTTGTCTTGAAATCAAACACATTAAACTATCACTTTCACGAACAAATGTGATTAGCCGTCAATTTCTGCCCAACGCAAATTCAAGATCTTCCTCCTTTTTGCATATACAGTAAAGCTGCCCTATATCTGCCACAAAATGATATAAGTGGACTCTCAATTATCCACGTGCGGTTTATTCAATTTGTGGATTAACCGTGCATCTGAGATTTTGACAAGTTAAAAAACTCATGAATTTCCCCTTAAGTCCAAATTAATCATCTAAAATCAGTTATACAAATTGTTATTCTTGGAAATGTTTATTACAAGTAACACGGTGCTTAAACCCCAAAAATATGTGGCTCCACTTTAATCTGAAATCTGCGTGATCGCTCTACAGTACAGTAGTTGCCATATATTTACAACAGTTGGGCGTAGTTTGATTGATGTCGATTGGCTGTGGCTCTGCTATCATCCACTCAGTGGGCTGAGTTTGATTGATGTTGATTGCCTGTGGCTCTGCTATCCATTTAGTGGGCAGAGTTTGATGTTGATTGGCTGTGACGCTGCTTTCATCTACTCAGTGGGCCGAGTGTTCTGCTTGGCGGTAGCCAATAAAGTGTTATCACTGAGCATGTGCATCATCAATCGGTTGATCGTTATTATTCTCTCGAAATCGAAAGAATAACAATGGATATCGTCATTTGTATTTCGTTTTGAGCAATTCATCCGACAATTTATTTCGTGAGTTTTAACTTATGAAGCCAGTTCATTGAAGCAGAAACCGATTTTAGGAATTTAAAACCCGTTTAAGTGTAAGTGTGTGTTTTCTTATTGACTTTTGTATTTAATACACTCTCTGTTACAAATGTTAATTAACACTTTTTATTGTATTAAGTTAAACACTAATTTGTACCTATAAGTTGTTTTTGACACATAGACCCGTGCAAAATGGTGACAATCATTATTGTTGTTGCAAACAAGCTGACATATGTCTGCGGTCACGGTAGAGTCCTTGCTTTGTGATGGCTCTCATTGGTGATGCAGTTGGTTGATGTAATCAAGCGTTGTGAACTCAAAACTGAAAATATGTTGCCGGTTCTCCAACGCGCAACCTGCGTGCTCAAGTGACAAATAAATTGTCATGTTTAACACAGAAGCTTTTGTGACCAATATCCACAAAACAGTTTTTTTGGGTTAAATCCAATAAATATCAATCTGTTGCCAAACCCGCCACCACCCGAAACAGCCAACCAGTAAGGCTTGTCACGCAAACAGAATATGCCAATCCGTAAGTAGTACAGCACACCGGTGTGTTGGAGAGAAAATCCACAACATCCACGATCCGAGCATGATGTTTCACCAGGAATTACAACTAGCATCGTCAGGCGGCAGCCATATCACAAATCAGCACACCGGTGTGTTGGGGACCAAAACCACAAGATAAACAATCTGAGCATGTTCTGCTTGCGGGACAAGCCTTACTGGTTGGCTGCGTTGGGTGGTGGCGTGTTTAGCGACACATTTATATTTACGCGATCTAACCCAAAAAACCTGTACTATGGAAAAATCGGCATGTTTTGTCCACGTGATGAACGTCACTGATAGGCTGTGTCGGCTAGAGGTGGGTTGATGACACATTTACATTCAAATGTGCCATGCACGTTGAACTTCTTAGGCACCATACGTACCCAACCTCGCTCATTGGAGGTGCAGAGGAAGGACAACAAACTAAACACAAAAAGAAGTGATTTGAAGCTTTCGTGACTGCAGGAATCCATACTCTTTGGTTCTTTTGGTAAAGTCACGTAGGTAAAAAAATCAAATAAACCCAAAAATAATATATCACGACGTTTCGATCGCAACACAAGCGGTTTTCCTCAGGCGGAAAAAATAATCCAGCAGTAAAACTGCAGAACCAGCGAGAGAGCTGTTACAAGAGGTTATTTATGTGGCGATGGGCAAGCAAGCGGGGTCTGAGCTAGAAAGGAATTCCATACCCGGACGCAAGCACGTCAGTTGTGTTAATGGGGGAGATTAGGGAGAGAGATTAGCATGAAATGAGCTTCCGTGGCCGTTTAAGAGATTAGCACTATGTTGATGGGAGAGATTATGCAGGGAGATTAGGGAGATTAGCAAGTTAATGTCACGTCTATGTGTAACACAAGCTGCTGCGCTGCCAACTGCGCTGTGAGGCAAGTGCGTCCACGCAAGAGAACCACCGCAATGGTGGTCGCGCCAGTGACACACAGCCCATCACACAGCCAGAACCATCGATACATCGAGGCTAAGAGAGCAGAGGTGGCCATGTTAGTGAGACCCCAGCCCGTTAATGCAGAAGCACCTAACAGGGCAATGCAACTCGGAGAATCGGAGATAACAGCCAAACGGCAGGGAAGAACGGAAGCACCACAGCAAGTTAAGACTTTGCTTGGTTAATCATTTTTACCTACGTGACATTACCGAAAGAACAATGAACTAAACACAAAAAGAAATTCGTCTTCAATTGAGATTTAAAAGTACAGAGGAGACGTAGGCGATCTAACCCAACACAGACAAAATCAGTGCATCACGTTACCTTGCACACTGGACAGGTGTATAAGTGCCGTGTCGGCCGTCGATCCACGTTCTGCCGCCTCCACCTGAACGTTCGGCCCGCTTCTGTTCTCTAAATAAAGCATGAGGTGATCCTCGCTCCCCTCCTCTTTGAGGTTCTCGACGCGCACCACCTTCGTGATGGGAAGCTGCTCCGCCCTGATGACGATGTTTGCGAATCCGCTCGCTTTGCAGCGATTGATGAAACACTCCATGTCTGCAGAAAGTGGGGCACAGTTTTTTGCCATTGCTCACAAAACCCGCAGTCATCTCCTTCCTACGTACGTCGAACTTCCTTCATCGCACAGTACGTAGCCAACTGCGCCGATCGGAGTTGTAGGGAAGGACGACAATCTAACACACAAAAAGCAGTTCTAAAGAAATTATTTTTAAATGTTAGTATCGTGGTGCAGTTTATAGTAGTGTAGTCGTGTATTCACACGGACACTTTAAGATTTTTTCCTGTTTCACTTGATTACCTCGTATCCCGTGGGGATGCTCCTCACACAAACACAACACACCCTTGCTCCGAACTCCCTATCCTCTGCTAGCCTGTCATTCTATACTCCGATAGCCTGTCACTTTATGCTCTGCTAGCCTGTCACTCTATACTCCGCTAGCCTGTCACTCTATACTCTGCGAGCCTGTCCTGCTTCCCTCACACCTCCACTCTCGTCCTTGCCCCCAGCAGAGGATCAGCCAACACTGCTGAGGACGAGGTGCGGAGGGCGAGATCCCAGGCTTCTCCCCGACTCTTGTCCTCTTCATCCCTTGAGCTCCAACCAACAACCTCCCCGTGTTACTCCGCGCACACCCTTATATCCCCCTTCTCATTAAGGGTCCTCAGTTACCCCCCATTAAGCTGGCGCCTCAGCGGCGCCTCCTGCACCTGCTCTCTCTCTCTTATCATCTCCCGCATCTCCGACGTCTACCCTGTGTTCTCACGCTCGCACCTGCCTGTCCTCAAATGCACCCGCTTAATTACCGCTTCTCCCCCTAATTGCTGGCGCTTCTCTGGAGGCTACACCATGTCTTGACACTTGCACTTGCTCGCCCTCAAATGTACCCGCTGTTTGCAAACCTCGTGTGTGACGCCACTACAGTAGTATAATGTATGTAGTGTATAGTATGTATTGTAGTGAATAGTGTATGTATGTTGAACTTATTTCTCACTGTACATAGCCAACCATGCTAATCGGAGGTTCGGGGGAAGGACAACAAACAAAACACAAAAATCAGTTCTATAGAAATTATTTTGTCAATCTACATAATGATGTAAAAGTGCATGGCTCCAGCGGCTTCCTAATATCGGAAGGAAGAGCGTTCCGGGTGGCCACAGAAGCACATTTGAAAGTGCACGATGGCCATCCAAAAGCCGCTGCTGGCAGGATGACCGGAGTTTGTATGATGATGATTTATACTCCTTGACAAGATCAACAACGTATTGTGGTTCATTTGTGGCAAGCACTTTGTTTGTAATGAGCACGACTTTATAATTTATTAATTTGGAACCGTAAGCCAATGCAGCTCGACGAGCACCAGACGAACATGGTCGGATCTTGCAGTACCCATCAAGACACGCACCAGATAATGCTGTACACGCTGCAGCTTGCTAATGAGTTGCAATAATCGAGCCTTATCAATATACCAAGCTACACGCAACCGTGTTTCCTACATCACAACTCATTAGTAGCCGAATGTGTCGTAGAGCCCTGATATGAAAATTGCAGAACCTGACTACATTTTGCACTTGGTGATCAATATACATATTCTGGTCGAGTATGGTGCCGAGGCTCTTTAATCAGAATCAATATTTAAGCTGCAGGAGGAATTTGATGAGCTATGAAGCTCTTTTTGAACAAATGGCCAGTAGGGGCACGGGGTCAGAACATAGCAAATACAGCATTCACAAACACGATAGGAGTGTAAAGTATAGGAAAGGTAAACAAATAATGACAAATAAACTACCAATAAACTATATTTAGTCGACCAGGAAAAGTCCACTAAGCTATTCGTTTATTCTACAGAAGTGACTTGGAAAAAAATATTTGAGCACCATTTGTTTGCATGTGGGTGAGTATGTCGCCCAGACACCTCGCTTTCGTTACAGATGTCCAGTAGGGGCACGGGTCAGAACGTTACAACAACAAACACACAAATACTCACAAACACGATAGAAGTGGCAAAGCAGGAAAGGTCAGCAAATCAAACGACGTATTCTGGTTCGCGTATGCTGCTGAGTCTCTTTATAGGAGTACAAAACCGAATCATAGAGTCTGCGACTGCCCTCGTGACTGATTCGATCGTCAGGATGACTCGATCGTCGCTATCTTAGGACTCCAAAAGCAGTCAGGGAAGGCTGAATCTTTTTTTAGTTTTCAGCATTTTGATACTGGGAAATAAAAGGTCCCGTAGATATAGCTGCTCAACATGAGCTATAATTGTCTGCTATAAATGTATACATGATGATAAGCCACTTCGTTGAGCTATCATTTATAATCGCCAGGTCGCTTCTCAACAAAGAGCTTCGTAGCTCAGTGGGCCTTACCTAGTAAAAAAAATACTTTAGTTTAATTGTATTATTACTTTGATGCTTTCATTGCCTGTTTAATTATAAAAAAGCAATTGTTTATTTATTTATTTTTCTTGTAAAAGCATTCTCTAAATCAAAATAGCATTTGTACTGTTGGCATTTGGCATTGTTCTCTAACGCCGGTGGTGAGACAAGGCTATGAAGAACAAGGCTGCTGTCTCTGGTGTAGGCCCATCAGTTTCAAAGACAACGCATGTAACATTATTATCAGAGCTTGTGTTGTTTGCATGATGACCACAAGTAGTGTGTGTGGTATCATCTATTTGGTGTTTGACCATCTTAATATATCTGTTCTATTCTCAGAAAGGGTACAGCCTATTCTTGTATTATTATCACCAGCCTGGACAGTGTTTCTCCAATCCACTGTTCGACGTTTAAGAACCAAGGTCTTCCATTGTCTGCTTTCTTACACGTTGTAAAGGCGATGTTTAGCATAGCGGAGATTTAATTGCTCTAAAAAACGTAACGCTCTCCACTAGCAGATCTGTCCAATATTTTACTTTAAGTTTATATCTTGCCTGGTAGATATGAGGCCATGACCAATGAAACACTCACAGGATTTTGCCTTTATTATGTGAGAATGAAAGAGTGTGTATTTAATTATATATAACCCACTGCCAACCATGAAATTAGGTTTTTTTTTTCTTTTTTTAAGACTCAGCACTGCACCATAGACTCAACACTGCACCATAGACTCAACACTGCACCATAGACTCAACACTGCACTATAGACTCAGCACTGCCCATAGACTCAACACTGTCCATAGACTCAGCACTGCCTATAGACTCAGCACTGCACCATAGACTCAGCATTGTCAATAGACTCAGTACTGCACCATCGACTAAACACTACCAATAGACTCAATATTGTACGTAGACTCAATACTGCCCATAGTCTCAACACTGCCCATTGACCCAACATTGCCTCTGGACTTGAGGCAATCCCCCTCCTTCGTCTCTTACCGTTCCTCTCTCTAAGCCTCACCACCGCTTCTCCATCACCCTTTCCCTTCCTCTTCCCTCCCCTCACCCCTCCACTCCTTCCCTGATTGCCTTCCCATGATCCCCTCTAAGCACCCCTCTATCACCGCTGTCACTCATTCCTCAACCCTCGTAGCAACTCCACCGTTCCATTCTGCCATTGTTTTCTAAGCCACATCATTAAGTGCCTTCAGTGAGCTTCCGATCCAGACGGTACTGGATGCTGATGCCCTCACTTTATTCTGTCTGGTGAATGAGGTGGGGCGATCACACAACCCAGTCTGACACCCGTTCGGATCTGAAAGGCGTCTATTTCAGATTCCCCAACTCGCCACGGTGGTGGTCGTGTCGTCGTGCAGGAGCCTCAGGATGGTGACCAACTTCTCTGGACATCCAAGACAGTGGAGGACACGGCAAAAGGCTTTCCGTTTTTAGGGAGTCAAATGCCTTGGAGTCAAATGCACAGGAGGGAGCTTTAGAACGATAGACAAAAAAAACGCCCACCCTGCCGGCATTCGGCGTTCGTCCGACTTACTGATATCATTGAAGAAAGTGACGATTCGGCAGTGCTCGTCGTCCGTCTCGTGAAGTTGGAATCTTTGGGTGCCACTGCAGTTCTCGACGAACATCCTCAGTATGTCCACGTTCATGGGAGCCGTGAAGCCACTCAGCAGAACCCTCCATGGGTCCAGATACTCTGGCGATCTCTGCACCGCCGCCATGGGCCCATCCACAAAGCTGACGCACATGAGCTCGTGGCCCCTCAAGGCATGCTTCCTTTTCAGCACCCGCTCCGCCACTGGCAAATCACAGAGACATCGACCACACAGCGAACATCATCAACTTGTTGTACGTACATACGTGTGTACGTTGAACTTCTTTGGCACCGTACGTAGCCAACCGTGCTAATCGGCAGGCATGGGGGTCTTGACAACAAAAAACACACAAAGAACAGTTCTAAAGAAATTGGTTGTCAATTTGGTATAGCGGTGTAGTGTATGGTAGTGTATAGTAGTGTATAGTCTAGTGTACGGTAGTGTAGTGTTGTGTATTGTAGTCTCGTGCATAGTAATATATAGTGTAGTGTGTAATAATGTAGTGTATGGTAATGTAGTGTAAGGTATTGTAGTGTATAGTAATGTACAGTGTAGGGTGTAGTCGCGTAGTGTATAGCGTAGTGTGTACAGTGTGTAGTGTAGTGTATTGGGTAGTATGTATGTGTAATGTATGTATGGCTGACTATACAGCGACAGTGGCGATGTCTGATTATACAGCTGGTCGACTATATAGCGATGACGACGATGTTGAACTATATAGTGAGACAGCTACATAGCGACAACTGACTAAGAGACAGTAGCGACAACGATGATGACAGTGGCGACGGCGAGGACCCCGAACTCCCCGAGCGCCCAGAACCCCGTTACACTCTCCCTTATATGCCCCTAGCACGGCCATGCCCCACCCCTGGCCATGCCCCTCTTTGTGAAGTCTCTCTCAGATTCTGGGAGATTCCTGATAGACCCGCTCGTTGACCCTTGGCCAAGTTATTCCCCTCTTGTGGTCACTCTCATATAATTAGACTATGTGCTGTTTTGCCACCCGCGATTAGTCCTTATGGCCACCAGTCAGCGCACTGACACTAGATATGTATGTTTGTTTAACTTTTTGCAACCGTACATAGCTAACCAGGCTAATCTGAGGTGTGGGGGAAGGACAACAAACTAAACGTAAAAAAGCATTCCAGATGGCCACAGAAGTGCATCTGAAAGCGCAGCGATGCGGTGACCATCTTTGTTCAATGGCCAGCCAAAAGCCTCTTCTGCTGCGAGGATGATCGGAGTTTGCGTGATGGTAGTTTATGCTCCATGTATTGTTACATCAAAACCTTGCCCGTCGCGGGTTTTTCCATCGCAGATTTCATCGTACGTGCCAAATTTATTGAGGCAGACTACCTTCGTCTTGGAAAAATCAATTGTTTCAACGCTGTGGGCACACACGAAATGGATTTTTCCAAGACGAAGGTACTCTGCAAACCCACTGGCTAATCAACATAGATTCGTTCATTAAGCCATCCAGATATGTAAATGTCTTACAAATGTCTTTACATTAACAGGCTAAATATTTCACTAACAGCCACTGCTGCTCCTTTCCCTCGTAGTGGCGGCTCCCGGTCTAAATCTCTCAACACAGCCACCATTGCGGTGGTTTTCTTACATTGACATGCTAATCTTACATTAACAATTTGACATGCTAATCTCTCATCCACAGCTTCGTTGTCGTGGAGGTATATCAGCTCTCTGATCTTACATTTACATGCAAATTCCATCTCTAGATGCCCGCCGTCGAACAGCCACGTGAGTTGCACTGCTCGATGTGCAACAGTTGCTCAAGGCATTTATCCTGGAGTGCCGTAAACATCATAAGTATATATTTTGAGACCGCTCGCCATCGCACAAAAGCGGTAAATTGTTATCTTTGTAACAAGATTTTATTTTTTTTGTAAGCAAAAAGAAAATATGAAAGACATGGCATGAGTGTCCTGTAATTCACCTGTGGGGTCTTCGAAGATGATGATCCAACATGCGGCCTCCTCCTCCATACTTGCGATGTCTCCCCCACCAGACCGCTTTTCGCTTTCAAAATACATAGACACAAAATCCTTGTCCAGATGCGCTACTTTGTCCACTTTAATTCCGGACGGGGGCACTGAAACGAACAACCAAAAGATATCTCAATTATACATATACTGTAAAACCTCGTTATTTCGATATTTGATTCTTTGTAATTGGAGATAATTCAGCACAGCTGTGCTTTAAACAGTATTCGTAATTTTCCATTAGCTGAATTGCTGTACCGAATGGTCCAATTTCGGCATACACGTGGAGCAACGCCGTGCACCACGACCAAAACAACGACTCAGTGTGGTGGTGAAGTGCATGGTGAGCATTAGTGCAGACCTGTTGCTTTGGACTTTACCTTGTTTGTGCACTCTGGGCAAGCCAACCCTCTCAGAAGTGTTGTCTACACCTACATCAAGAGATAATAGAAAGGGATTGAAGCATAAATACCTTAGTCTGCGTGACAAATACAACATTTTGGATGGAATTGATGCAGAAAGTGTGTCAATGCGTGTGGTATGTGAAGAGTTTGGAAAAAATAGGATTTTGTTTCTTTTTAGGGGCAGGAGGCACTGGGGAATACCATTGTACATAATTCGGAATATTGGATAATTTGGCAAGGCCAGAGCCCCATATGTCTCAAATTAACAAAGGTTTACTGTATATATAAGTACAGTTTATAATGGATTATCCGGCAGCTTCAAATATTATCTAGCTGGTCCCCGGCCAATCCAGCGAAACAGGCAAACACCACTTCAAAGGCTGCAACGCAGTCTGGTGATCAGCACCGTTTTCGCGAACAAAGTAGCTACGCTTGATTTCAGTGTGAAATATTACATGCACTACATTATACACTACACATAGTTTAACACTAAGGAGGCTTTCGCGACCAATATTATTCATAATAGGGTATTTTTTTGTTAGATCGCATAAATGTATTAGTAAACTAAAATTAAGGTGACAAATCTTACTAATTGGTTGTGTTGGGTGGTGGCGGGCTTAACGACACATTTATATTTATGGGATTAACCCAAATCACCTGTATTATGGACAAAACACTCAACTTAAACAATGAAAAGTACTGCACATAATATACATCACCCCATGATGCAGAGTCTTCGAGATTGAAGCAGTAAGTACGGTACAGTAAATAGGTCACTTCTTACGGTAGGGTGTTTGTGTCTATTTGTATGTTTATTCATGCCAATTTCATAGGGTAAACACATGTCAAAGACTAAAAAAAAATGATGACGAAAAATGTAATGTCATATGAGAAGCCGCTGTATATTAATCAGTAATCTACTGTATAATCGATTATCTACAGGAGACTCTCGAAGGTCCGCTGTAATGAAGGGGAGGACGTTCGCGGATAATTTAAAAAATATAAATTTTCCGCGGATCTCTCTATGCCAAAAACTAACGATTGATGATCCTCGCACTCAGTGATAATAATACTTTCCTGCTCCCGCCCAGCAGAAGACTTGGCCCACTGAACGGATGATAGCAACGTCACAGCCATTCAACATCAATCAAACTCTGCTCACTAAGTGGATGATAATAGAGCTACAGCCAATCAACATCAATCAAACTCAGCCTACTGAGTTGATTATAGCAGCGTCACAGGCAATCAAAATCAATCAAACTCTGTCCACTAATTGTATAATAGCAGAGCTATTATCCAATTCGGTGCGGCGCGGCCAACGGCCGCCATTTTGTACGAGGGAGCGATGTACCGATCCAGACGGTTGCATTCCCCAGATAGACTTACTGTGACTAACACCACGGTCCAGGCCTTTGTGAAGGAATCAGTTGAGATTCCGACAGGTGCGCAAATGTTAGTTCCCCTGCGCAACCGAAAATGGCTGCAGTTTACAAATTCCGAGGTGGGGGTCCTCTTAACCCCATCCAACACGGCAACTCGGGGCCTCACGCTGGTGGGTGCTCAGTCGATCGTTAGGACAGACAAGGAGCCAGTTCCTGCAGGTGTTAAATGTTGGATTGATTACAGCGGTTGTCCAGGCTGGTACGGTCTTAGCTCATGCGGCAGCTGCGTGTTGCGAGGATGTCGACACAGCTGCAGCAGAGGTCGTGGGCATGGTGGAAGAGAGAGGCGAGTCAAACGAGACATGGGCTGATAATTGTGCACCGAGAATCCGGACCTGTCACGAGATCAACGGGACAAGTTGCGTGCTTTGCTGCGGGAGTTAATTTATAATTTCACCCAAAGGAAATTTTATATTGGCCGCACCTCATTGCTGCAACACCGCAATGAAATGATATGGGTGGCGCAACTCCCATTAGGCAAAACTCGTACAGGCTGAGCCTGAGGGAGAAAGAACATGTTCAACAGGCGTTTGAGGAAATGTTGGCCGCTGACATTATTTGCCCCTCTACCAGCAGTATAGGCCATATCTTTATGGCAGGGACTTTGTAGTGCACACGGACCATGCGGCTCTCCAGTACTCCTTTCGAATTGACCAGCCGTCCGGGCAGCTTTCACGCTGGCTGAAAATGCTGCAAGAGTACTCGTTTACGGTAATCTACCGAAAGCGTCTAAGGCACTGCAACGCAGATGCACAGTCCCGCCTGCCACTGAGCGGGTGTAAACCACCTGCGGCTGGATCGCCACAAGTTGTAGTGGCATCGAGCGATGGATTGCTAACTGAGGTGGTCACGCCTGGGGACAGTACATTGGGCCTCATGCATGCCGAGTGGGGACGGCTGCAGGTGGAGGACATGTCACTAATGAACTTGCGGCATCATGCTGAGGTGAACCACGATGATTCTGCCCCAGTGGGAGTCTCCCACATAGTCCTTCGTGAGGGACTTTCAATGAGGTGGGATGAGGAGCTACAGCGCCATTGTATAGTGGTTCCCACCGCTTTGCGCAGAAGGGTGACGAGGATGGTCCACGAAAATAAATTACTGCACCTCGGAGTCCAGAAAACGTTGTTGACGCTGCAGAAAGATTTTTATTGGCCAGGTATGTCAGACAATGTGTACCATCTGGTCAAGGGCTGTATTGATTGTGCACGCCGGAAACCACTGTTGAGAATGGCTCAGCCTCCATTGCAGCCCATCACGGTGTCCCGAATTAATGAGATGGTTGCACTTGATATTCCGGCTACCCAAAGGGGAAACAAATTCCTCCTGGTTAGTGTGGAATATTTTTCTCACGTGGCCAATTACTTGGCCACTACCAGACCAATCTGCAGCAGCCATTGCTGATGCATTTTTGCATGGCTATGTGATGGACAAGGGAGCACCTGCGCAGCTTTTCACGGATCAGGAGCATAATTTCTCGTCAAAACTGCTGCGGGAGGTATGCGATGCTTCGGGCACCAAAAAATTAGAACGTCACCAGGCCATCCTCAAATGGACGGTATGGTAGAACGCCTGCACAGGACCCTAACATAGATGCTCTGTCAGGCGGTTAATAAGGCGCAGAAGGACTGGGATTTGCACATCCCAGGGAACCTAGCGGCATACAGGATGGCCCCACACACCTCAACGAGATTTTTTCCATTCTATCTTATGTATGGGTGAGATAACTAACCCCCATGGAAAAAAAAGGCCGCCATGCCTGTGCCCATGCAGGTTAAGCTTGCACGATTGTCTGAGGCGCGCGAAGCAGCCAGGGAAATTTACGCCAAAAAGCAGGGTGCTAACGAAAAGAGCACGGAGCAGCGGGAGTACGTGCTCTCATGGAAGGCTGGGGAAAAGGCTTGGTTGCACTGCCCTCAGGTGCCACCAGGTACATCCCCGAAATGACATTGGCCATGGCGAGGCCCGTTGAGGTGGTGGAAGTTCGACAACCGCAGTGTGTGTGGATACAGGCAGAGTATCACCGTTGGTTCATTCACCCATCACGCCTGAAGCCCTATGTTCATTCCCAGTTAGACAGTTCATCTCCAAATCCTGTACAGCCGGTGTCTGATGTGTCCGATGAGCCGGGACAGTCGGCCCCGGGAACTGTGCCTCAGAAAAAGTGTGTTGTGCCGCCCACAGGATCTGAGCCACTGACGTCTGGGAATCCTCCTGAAGCCACCTCACATGAAGAATCAAAAGCTGGAGCCCGGTCGAACTCTTCTGTTGATTCCAGGGAGGGTCCGGGCCCTTTAGGCCGCTTGTGCAAGAAGTACAAGACCCCGCCCAAGATGGGGGGCCAGCGTCCAGAACTTGGTCCAAGTGCGTTACATTCCGATGAGCGTGTCCCAAATTGTGTGTTCTAATGCCATGGTCGGTTGAAAGGGGAATATGTGTTGGGGGATCGTAAAATGTTGTTGGGTGTCGCCCGATGGTTTTGCCTGCGGCATGTGCTGTGTTGCAGTCAGCTAGAATGCTGTTGCCATTGTCTATTCGCGTGTGCGTCGGGATTGTGTTCATTAATCAACGGGTCATTTTATGTATTCCCTCACCCTCATTGAAGTGTTTCATTTACCACGTTGTTGTTAATTCTGCGGAGTTGCTCTGCCCTATACGTCCTTGTTATCTTTACGTTGTCAGTTGCTGCGGATTGTTGTTCTGCCCTATTCATGTTGCTGTCGATTCTGCGGAGTATTACTCTGCCCTAATCACCTGGTTTATTGCTAAGTATTAGCTGAGATGGCTATGTTTTTAATAAGCGGGGGGGGGGGGGTAATGTAGTGTAATAGCACCAGCTGGTGACCAGAAGTGGCAACTGCGGTGTATAAACAGCACACACGCAAGTGAGCGACAGTTTCCAGGGGTGTGTCGGCAGAGTGGAAGAAGGGTCATAGAGGGGGTCCATCTAGAAGTTCCTAGAACCTGCTAATAAGAGTTCGAGAAGCCGGGCCACTCTGGTAGAATAAAAGAAGCTGAGATCGGTGGCTCAGGGCTGTTGTTGGGAGTCGGATCATCTCGTTGTTGCTGTCGTCTTCGTCGCCGTCGTCGCTGCCATCTTTGCAATCGCTCGACGTCGCCACTGCTAGATAGTCAGCCAGCTGTCTAGTCAGTTAGCGCTGTCGATGGTAGGCAGCTAGTGTTGTGCTCAGGCTAGCGAGTGTTGAGTGTACAGTCCAGATTGTGTGTGTTAATAAAGAAGGTGCATCTACACTACACAGGTAT